GACTCGACCCAGAAAAGACGGCCGTGGGCGTCGACGGCGGAACCACCTAGCCGCTTGGAAGCGCCCGAAACGACATCAGCGGAAATGGGGGACTTCCAGGATCCATAAGGAGCTGTGAGTTTTTCAATAGTTGAAGAGGCCATGGTGGTGAGGCTGTGTGGATGGATTTTCTTAGCACAGATGGTGAACACTACTCTTCTCCCAATTGGGTTTAAGCAGAGACGATAAGTAGATGGTGAGGTTGAAACAGTGAAGCGACTGAAGCTGGCTATGGCTGAAAATGCCATTGACTTTCGCACGGTCTTACGGGGGAAATCACATAAAGGGTTAAGGCCATCTATCGTCCCTTTACTATTAATTAACTCCACTTATCGTCCCTCAACAATGCAAAAACACCCCAATGTCGTCCCTCCGTCTACTGTAACTAACGGTGTTGTTTATTGACAGTTAAACGCAACGGTGAACGGTCACACCGGTTTTTTTTTTTTTCACCCTTTTTATGGGCCCCACCCTTGTCACATCATCTCTCACACAAATTTTTTTGCCTTAACCTGGACTTCCTACTGCCTCCCCAACTCCAACGTGGATCCTGCAGAAGGAATTATGGAATTTACAATTGATAATTTTAAATAATAAAATATAAAAATATCATAATTTAAGAAAATAATAGATAAATAAAAATGACAACTTTGTTATTAATCTATTTAAAAATATAAACTTTTTAAAATTTTAAATTAAATAGTAAATTTTTTCTTTTTTTTAAAATGATAATATAAAATTTTATAATTTTTCTTACTTTCTTTTGAAGATTTATTAGAGAATGATTATATTGTAACAAATGACAATTTTAATCAAAATAGGATAATATTTATGTATTTAAATTTAAAAAATGAAAATTTACTATAATATGCTTCAAGAATTAAGGCAATTTTAAGTAATTTAGTGAGACACTGAGATATATAGTTTACTAGCATATTCAGCAGGTTTTTTTTTTTTTTCAATTTAAAAATTCAAAAAAATTAAAAAGGAAAAATTTACTATTTAATTTAAAAATTCAAAAAATTTATATTTTTGAATAAAAAAATTGATAAAGTCATATTTTTTATCTAAACATTTTCTAATCAATTGAGAATTCACAAAAAACTAGTGTGTTGAAGATGCAAAGAATTTCATTCAAGATCAAATAGAATAAAATTTTTTTGCTACAGTTCCCACTCTTTTTGTATTCTATTTCATCTTGAATGAAATTTTTTGTATCTTCAACACATTAGGTTTTTGTGAATTCTCAATTGATTAAAAAAGAGTTAGATAAAAATATGACTTTATCAATTTTTTTATTCAAAAATATAAATTTTTTGAATTTTTAAATTTAGAAAAAAAACAACTCCTACTGAATATGTCAATAAACTATATATCTCAGTGTCTCATGAGATTATCTAAAATTTCTTTTATTCTTTAAGTATATAATAGTAAATTGTCACTTTTTTAATTTAAGTATATGAATATTATCTTATTTTGATTAAGATTATCATTTGTTATGTTATCATCATTTTCTAATAAATTTTCAAAAAAAAAAGTAAGAAAAATTGTAAAATTTTATATTATCATTTAAAAAAAAGAAGAAATTTACTATTTAATTTAAAAATGTAAAAAATTTATATTTTTGTTGTCTTCAAAATCTCCCTTTCTGTCCGCGTGACAGATAAGACTGCGAAAGCGTGTTACTTACTTTGCTCAAAGTGAGAAAGAGGGATTCCCGGCAAGGGAGTCAATACTGTACCGGCATGCGTACCGGTTTTGTTACTGGAACGGTATGTACCGGATACCGAAATTTTTCGCGTACCGTTTCGGATTTATCGTTATAAATATATTTTTATAAGAGAAATTAATGTAATTCCTTTTTTTTTTTCAAACATTAACCTAAACCCATTATAATCCAAGCAAAGATACTTTAGATGGTTTAAGTTAAAGACATTAAGATAATGACAATTATTAAATAGATGATATAAAATCACATTCAATTTATAAAAGTTAAAAAGACTGAATGATGAAACAGATACTTAATGGTTCATCACAAGAGTTCTTCAATTGTTTCTGTCAAGTGACAATTATAAACAAACAACAAAACTAATGATCTTGTACATAATTATAAGGATCCTCATGTGGAGGAATTCCATAACCTGTAACTCCACCAACTCCAGTCCAAAGTTGTTCACTTTCATTTTCAAGAGGAACTTGTGGGACATCTCCCTCATCATAAACAATACTATCAGTATCATCAAGGATTTGATTTGGCAAAGACTCATCAATTGCTGCCCAATCTACATCATAATCATCTTTATCAAGAAGAGTTGGCTCCTCAGCCACCCAATCAGCTAATATGTCAATATTGTCAAGACTAAGAGGATCCATTGCTTCTT